CCTCTACACAGGTTCCACCCATTGCATTTAGGGCATCCTTCGTCTAAGTCTCTTGAAACTATCTGGGTACCAATGGAGCACATGGTCTAGTTGTTTCTTAACCTTTATTCTTGCTACGTATCTAACTGTGCTTTTCCATTCACACATTTCCTTTATGCCTTTAGTTATGCTACTTTTTCACTGATAATACATGGTAGGTACCTGATTCCTGTCAGAGCTTGAGTCAAGGGTTTACATCCCTCCAGGCTGCAAAGCTGTCTCAGAGCAGTCACTAGGTCTACAGGGGTCAGATTTGTTCCAGCTGGCTGGTTGCTCCAGTAGGATGGTTTGCGCCATCTGTCACCCTAGTGCTGAGGTCTCCAAAGCCCCCTTCTGGGGGAACGGGACCTGCAGTCTGACATCTCCAGCCACATAAGCCTTTCTGTGTAGGGTACATCAGGCAGACCAAAAGGGCTAACATGCCAATAATTAGGACAACTACCAACACCAAGAGAAAATTTTTCCTGCTAAGAAAAGAAGGATAGGTTCCAAATTGAGATCCAGGAGAGCGTAAAGCAGAGGCCAAACTGGGACCAAGTTTCCCAAAAACGTCAGTGTCCAGGAGGCTGAGACAAAGGCCAGAAGCCTGGGGGCAGAACAGAGTTTCTTTGCACAGCAATCAGGAGTGCTAGGAAAAAATGATACAGCCTGCATGCATTTCCTGTCTCCGCCTTCTGGGAGCCATGAGCGTAGTCACAAAGAGTGGGCTGGATTGCCTATCAGAAATTGCTCATTGCTTTTAATGATTCCCAAGCTTCTCTCTGAAATAAAAACCCATCTTTTTAATGCCAATGTTGTTCCAGTTGTCCTATTCGGCCACAAATCGCGGAATACCGCACTCTCTGAAAAACAAAATTATTACCCAATAACGAGGCTTTTTTTCTTTTAATGCAGAGAACAAACAAAAGGCCAAAAAGAAGATAGGACAGTTTTGAAAGCTACAGGTTGAATTTAGTATTTATTTTTTCTTTTTTTAAGCAAGCTGTACATAATAGAGATTTGAAGTTTAATGTGTAATTCTCTTCTGGTCATAGTCTGGCTCTGCTCTGCCCTCTTCTGACTCAATCAACTATGCCTGTCAAATATGGGTTTCTGACAGTGTTTACTGCAAATTAGCATTACCTATGTACCTATGATCCTCAGAACCCCACAAACAGCCCCCTTTTTATTGTTAGTCTAAGGGGGTGAAAATTTAGGTTCAAGCTGTGTTCCTCATCACCATCCCTTAAAGAGATAGCATGTGCTACCAAAAAGGAGTGTCCCAAGATACATTATCCAAGGCTTGGCTCCCTTCCTACTAAATACTGGTTACCCAAAGATGATATGTAACAAATAGCAAATAAACACATTCAAGCCAATAGCAAACAAATCAGAGAAGTATAAAATAAGAATATACCAGACAATACACAAAATGAATGAGCTCTCCTATTGGGAACAAGATATTTCAGCTCAACAGAGAGAGAGAGAGAGAGAGGGGGAGAGAGAGAGAGAGAGAGAGAGAGAGAGAGAGAGAGAGAGAGAGAGAGAGAGAGAGAGAGAGAGAGAGAGAGAGAGAGAGAGCACCCCAGGTTTCACTCAAGGAAATTCTCTGAAGTCTCTAGTGTGGTAACCTGGGGATAGAAACATGTTCAAGGCACTCACTCCCCCACAGCTTCTTCCTAGAGCCTCTCTCCCCTTCAGAGACCTTTCCTTGAAGAGATTCTTTCTCTCTCTCTCTCTCTCTCTCTCTCTCTCTCTCTCTCTCTCTCTCTCTCTCTCTCTCTCTCTCTCTCTCTCTCTCTCTCCTGAAAAGCTAAAGATAAAACATCTTTCCTCTCCCAAGGTCTCACCAACTCTGCCTTCATGCAATCATGGTTAAGTAATCAGACTCCACCACTGAGGAAAGTTAAACAAAAAGCCTAGAGGACAGAGTTACAAATGAATAAATGAATGAATGGTATTGACATCATTTGAGTTCCAATAAAATTGCATTCATTTTTATATATCTAATCTTTCAGACCTTTTTATCATTTGACTGTCTTTCTCCACCAGGAGTGGGGAACCTGCGGCCTTGAGGCCACATGTGGCCCTCTAGGTCCTCAAGTGTGCATTTTGTCAAAGAGCCACAGGTTCCCCACCCTTGTGCCTAGTTAGTCTGAATTAGTGAAGTTTTATTTATTCTACCTAATTTTTATGTAGTATTTAGCCCATTACAAAAACATGAAACATTTTACCAAGGAAATTGATAAGATAATGTGATAGGACAAGCAGGTTAATATGACACTAATGGTTGGCATTATATTAGCCTACCCACTGCTCAGTCTGTAATATGACACTAATGGTTGGCATTATATTAGCCTACCCACTGCTCAGTCTGTAGTTATCTGAATTACCTGTAGCCATGGAGGCCTTTGAGAATTCCTCAGGGTGCTTATAATCCCAGTAAAGGACATGCCAGTTTGGTCATTCTTCTGGTTCAATTTTGATGCCAGCTGCTAAGTAAGTGAATCCTGGTTTTTGCCAGAGAAAAATATTTGAATGTCTCATCATAAACCATTTTTATGATCTCATCTGTAGTTGAGGAAAGGGAGGAGCAGGTCATCAAGATGTATCAAAACAGATGATATTTAGTGTAACTTCTAAGATTTTTAGCGCAACTTCTCAAATAGTTTCCAAAAATGGTCCTACATTTGCATTGAGTGCAAGTCCTTTGAGATCATCTCCAATCTCCCTCCAGGCCATCTCTCCCACCTTTTATTGCTTCCCTTCTCATTAGGCTAAGGAAATATCAACATGGACCATCAGTGGATTTGTTGCACATTCCTCTATGAATGAAAGATTCTACAAAGCATAAATGGGGTGGGGGGGAGGGGGCTGGGTCTATTCTATGATAGTACCAAATAGAATTACAATGCTCACTCTTTTAAATTTTCTGTGGTGCCTCAAGATGACCCTTGAGTGGTAGGGCCAGTAGATTGTGGCCTCTCCCTTTCCTGGGACTGGATGATAGACTGTGATAAATCTCAATGACCATGAGATCTAGTTCAGCCATGGGTTTCTAGATACTGCCAAAGAGCATGGAAGAGAGAGTGATAATATATCTTCTTCTTGAAAGTCTATTAAAAGTTTCTTCACTAGACCTCATGCTTCTATTAGGACCCTGGCTTAATTTCATGGCTTCAGCAGCAAATGACTTAACCCAGAGTAATCCTTTAGACAAATATTCTCTGTGTTAGATTCTCAGTATGTTCCCCTAGAAATGTGTCATTTGTCCTTTTACAGAGGTAGCGTGGTGCAGTAGAAAGAACACTGAATTGAGTGTTGAGGATATGAGTTCAAATCCAGACTCTTCTAGGATTATGTGTGATCTGAGGGAGTGTGGGGTAGGGGGAACAAGCATTTATTAAGTACCTGTTATGTACCAAGCACTGTGCTAAGTGCTTTCTAAATATTGTCTCATTTGATCTTAGGCAAGTTGTTTAACCTCTCTGTTTCCTTATCTGTAAAAACACAGGGGTTGAATCTGATGATCTCATAAGGTTCTTTCCAGCTCTAAATGAATGATCCTAACACAATTTATCATTAAAGATGTACTAGATAGTATGCTGTAAAGAATGAAGTTAGACCACTTACTTTTCAGTGAGCAACCAGTCTCTCATACTCTTCCCTGGTTCAGCAGGTCTCAATAGAATTCCAGGAGGAAAGAGAAGTAAAGATTATTGGAGGGTTTTTAAACATTCAGCATTTACCCTTTTCCCCCACTATAACCTAGCCATATTGCCAATGTGGGAATTTGTTTTACTTGACATTGTGGGTGGTGTAGTGGATAGAGTGCAAGGAGGTCCTGAGTCCAAATCCAGCCTCAGCTACTTCCTAGCTATGTGACCCTGGCCAAGTCACCCACCCTCTTTTTGCCTATTTCCTCAACTATAAAATGGGAATAATAATAGCACCTACATCCCTGGGTCATCAAAAGAATCAAGTGAAATAATATTAGCTTAGTCCCTGGCATGGTAGGCACCTAATAAAGTGCCAAAAAAAAAAGGTTTTGTTGTTCTTTTTATTGGGAATGGGATGTAGGTGGAAGAGAATGTAGAGTTTGGTTAATTTTTTTTTATTAAATTTTTTTTTTAAATCTTTAAACTACTATCCCGTGCTATTTCTTTAACTCACCACACATGCCATTTGAGAACATAGAAAATGATGCCTTTTTTAAAAAAAAATAATATGTAGAGTAATTTCACTGAAAAGGACTTCTAAGATCTCCAGGACCTCAAATTGGGCCATGTAACTCATAGCTAAAACTAAGAATAACATCACCTGGGACAAAACAGTTCATGGAAGGGTGATCCAGAGGAGAGGCCAGACATTCGGGTGGTTGTAATGGGTGGCTATGCTGTACAGGCTAGGGGAGGACCCAGGGTCAGATACAAAAGTGCCACTTACTGTAGAAACTCATTAAATGTCATCTTCTGGGCCCAGACTCCTTTTGTCACATGCTAGTTATATCTCTTATGTAAACTTGAATGTATTTCTTGACATCTCTGCTGTCTTATATCTTATCTATAAAATAAAAATGATACCCCCAAATATTCCATAGGATAGATGTGACTAATAATGTAATTCATAACATAAATAATGAATGTCAAGAAGTAGGACCGGAAGTCTAAGACAGGGCTATTATTCCCAGGGCTCTTGTACCTATCTCCCTGCTGGTAACAGTTGGTCATCAGCTGTCACTGATGGTGATAAAGAAGATGTTAAGAAGCAAGTTAAAAAAAACTTAATGGCAATTGGGGTTAAGTGAGTTGCCCAGGGTCACGCAGCTAGTAAGTGTTTGAGGCTGAATTTTTACTCAGCTCCTCCTGACTCCAGGGCCAGTGCTCTATCCACTGCACCACCTAGCTGCCCAAAGTTAGACATTTTAAACGCTGCACCACATTTTTAAAAATTGTATATGATATTTATGATCTCTTCCAAAGGGCAAAAGAGGCGACTGTGCCATTCCAAGGATAAAAGGTGACTGGGTATGTATCAACCTTCTTTATTATGATAACTGGCCCCTTAAAATGGTGAACACATCTCCTAATATTAAGATATCTGAAGTAACTGTAGAACTGATATTGCATCACATGAAAACATTCACACCATTCAAAATAAACAGAAGGTGGCCACCGGGTGATTCATTTCTTTGGCCACAGTGACTCATGAACAGAAGCAGAGGGATTATGATGTCTGTACATGCTGCCAATGTGACATACGCAGTGTAAAGTGTTTGGTGCTGAGGATACAAAGATAAGAAGCATCAGAGTACCTGATTTCAGGGAGTTTACAATGTGGTAAAGAGGAGAAGATGTATACAAGTAACTGTTCTATAAGTTAGAATGTAATTGTGGCATAGAAGTCAGAGGGCTCAATGAATAGGGAGGGCATTGGACTCATTTTTATCTAAAGCAGAGGTTCTTAATCATTTTTGTGTCTTGGACCCCTTCTTGAAATAATATTTTTTTAAAAATTGAAAGAAATGCTAATTTCTTATCTATAAAGGTTAGTAAAAATAATGATGTAATTTTTCCCTATTCAAGTTTTCCAGCCCCCTGAAATCTATCCATGGACCCCATGTTAACAGCCCTTGACCTAGAGGAATCCAGGAATGTTGCATAAAGAAAAATATGTTCGAAGACATTTTGAAAAATTAATGCTATGGCAGTAAAACTTCACCTCTCTGAAAAATTATGCAGTTATACTCATCCAAAAGACAGTCACTTTAAATGGCTGTAGTAGCTCTTCTCATTTATAGTAGTTGATCCCTGCTTATATATCCTGAAGAAGAGATAAGGGGAAGAGGAGAGCTTCCCTTGACATTTTCTGTTTTCTATTTGGAGGGGGGAGGGAAGAGTATGCAGTCAGTCACCTGAAGCCAAAAACTGGGAAGGCTGGTATCAAACAGCGGGCAACTGATTAGTTGAGCAGATAATCAGGAAAGGAAGTAGAAGGAGGTTCCATTCTCTTTTGCAACTGGGGAAGGCATATGGAAACACCCATTTGAGTTCAGCTTGGAAACTGGATTGATTTTTAATTTTTAATATGAATTAAGGGACAGCTGGGTGGCGCAATGGATAGAGCACTGACCCTGGAGTCAGGAGGATCTGAGTCCAAGTCCAACCTCAGACATTTACTAGCTGTGTGACCCTAGGCAAGTCACTTAACCCTCCAAAAAAAATTTACCTCAAAAAAAAATTCATTAAGAGAGCTAAGGCAACTCTCTAACACTAGTCATAAGTTGCAGAATGGCTACTAGTTTTCATTGTAGAGAAAGTTTCCTACTCCAATTCTGTTTCAAAAAAAAAAAAGTAAAGTTATATTTCTGATCTTAGTTTTCCAAATCTTTATGTAATGATAGCTATAAATACCTTCTTTTAAAATGGCATTTTATTTAAAGGATAACTATGCTCTATTTGGCAGCTAGGTGGCACAGTGTATAGAATGCTGAGCCTGGAGTCAGGAAGACTCATCTTCCTGAGTTCAAATCTGGCCTCAGACACTTACTAGCTGTGTGACCCTGGGCAAGTCACTTAAGCCTATTTGCCTCAGTTTCATCATCTGTAAAATGAGCTGGAGAAGGAAATGTCAAACCACTTCAATATCTTTGCCAAGAAAACCCTAAACAGGGTCGTGAAGAATGAGACGTAACTGAACAACAACTACAGTACTCTGGCCTTCTAAAATTAAATGTGGGATTCTAAGAAAATTTTAAAAGACTTGTTTGGAGGCAGCTAGGTGGATAGAGTGCTGGCCCTGAAGTCAGGAGGACCTGAGTTCAAATCCAGCCTCAGACACTTGACATTTACTAGCTGTGTGACCCTGGGCAAGTCATTTAACCCCGTTGCCTAGCCAAAATAAAAAAGACTTGTTTGCTTCCATAAGGCTTACAAATGACTTAAGCATCTTGAGTTCACTTGCTTGAATGAGTGACAGCACAACAGCTGTCAATTACTCTGGCTGAGAACACAAGATCACTATCTCATAGGTCTTTAACACCCAAAAAAAACTAATAAAGCTTATTTATTTACTTTTTCTTTTTTTTAGGTAATTGGGGTTAAGTGACTTGCCCAGGCTCACACAGCTAGTAAGCGTTAAGTGTTTAGTCAGAGGTCAGATTTGAACTCAGCTCCTCCTGACTTCAGGGTCGGTGCTCTATCCACTATGCCACCTAGCTGCCCCAATAAAGCTTATTTTTAAACATATGTTAGATGTTTTAAATATAATAGAAGACATTATAACACAACTAATTATTTAATGGTTTGGATAGAACTCTTGTCAACTCATGCACAACAAAAAAGTAGCTATCTACTTTAAATAACACAGCTTGTATATTTTTAGGGAAAGTTCTCCTCAGTGCCACACCCCCAACTTAGATTGGGAGTTCTTAACCCTTTTTCTGTCCTGGCCTCCTTGGGAAGTCTGGTGAAGTCTATAAATCCTTTCTCAGAATGATGTTTTTAAATGCAGAAAAAAAATGTGAGATTACAAAGGAAGCCAATTACATTAAAATATAACTATTAAAATGTTAAACCAAATTCATAGACAACAATTTAAGAACACTTGCCTTCAATTTTTTTTCACAAGCTATTTGCCTGACAACAGCTGTATTCTCTTTATTTGACCCGCAGGGTTGAGAGGGTCCATTTGATCAAAAAGGACTACAGATAGAAAAGAAAATAAATATGTTTGCTTTTTTCTGATCATGAAGGGGAAAGGAAAGGTTTGAGTAATAATAGCTTAAATTTGTATAGTATTTTACAGTTTCTGAACACTTTCACATGTTGTCTCTCCTTTGGTCCTCTCAACAATCTGTGGGCAGGAACTCCATGAGAATGGCAGAGCAGGAAGCAGAGCAATAGCTAATGTTTTTTCCTGATTATGAAATGCAAATGAACCAGCAGTCTAGCAATTTAAAACTCTGTTGGGCACAAAAGCATTTGCCATACACCACTTGCAATCAGCTCGCTCAGACCCATGCTATACACCAACAGCATATTATTGGATGAAATTTTGCTTAACTCAATTTACCTGCATAATAGTCCAGATCTGTAATTTGGAAATATGGATTTCACTACTCATACAACGTTGACAATCCATAGCAAACCAGGCCTATAGGATCATATGACCTACTAGAGACTTCAGAATCTAACTTGGGGGAGATTGGTGGCCTTTCCTACCACCTTCCTGCCAGTCAAGAATAACAACAGTAATAAACTGTTAGCTGTGTATACCCACAAATAGTAACTAAAGCTCTTGTTTCATGTGCACTTCCTGAGTCGAGGAAGACTTGGATTGAAATCTAGCCCTTGGCACTTATTAACTATGTGACAAGAGAGAGATTATTTCTCCTCTCTGAGCCTCAGTTTCCTCATCTGTAAAACATGGATGGTAATAACTGTAGTTCCTACCTCACAGGGTTGTTGGGAGTCTCAAATGAGATATTGTTCGTAAATCACAACACACTTTGAAGTGCACTAAGTGATATGTTTCAGTGGCTCCCTATCACCTTCAAAATCAAAAATAAAACCCTTTGTTTAGACCTCCATAAGCTGGTGCCCTCTTAAATTTCCAATTTCTCTTATACTTACCCACCATAGTTTTTCCTCAATTCAGTGACATTGGCCTCTTTGCCATTCCTCAAAGAAGATACTCCCTCTCCCAACTCCCAGCATTTTTGCTGGCTATCCTCCCACATCTGGAATTTTCTCCCTCCTCATCTCCACCTCCTGGCTTTCCTGGCTTCCTTAAGTCCCAGCTAAAATCCTGCCTTCTTTATGAAGTCTTTGTCCTTAATGCTAGTATCTTCCCTCTATTGATTATCTCCAATTTATCCTGTCTCTATCTTGTTTTTACATAGTTGTTTGCATATTGTCTCCCCCATTAGACTGTGAACTCCTTGAAAGAAGGGTTGGTCTTTTTTGCCTTTTTTTTTTATCTCCAGTGTGTTGCCTACTGTGTGCACAGTGGCTGACACATAGTAGGCACTTAACAAATTCTTGTTGACTGACACATACAAACAGAGGAAACATGCAAATAACTTACCCTCTAAGTACAGGCAACTCTGTAAAAACTTCAAGTTATAGATAATTGATCATCTGTGCTGACGAAAGGGCTTTCCATGCTATGAATAGCCTACACTGTTAAAATAATAGGTTGGGATGAAAATATCCATTCTATGTGTTTTCCCTCCTTATGCTTCATCTCCTTTATTTTTCTTCTTTTTTAATAACTAATATTCAACAAGATAATTCTAGTTTAGCTATCTAAAAATTATGTGTAGATTTTTATTGAAGGTCTATAAAAATGGATTAGATAATCTTCTCAAAAAACTGATTCACCTGCCTACATCCAGTTTTGACTATATCAAAATAGTGAGCTAGGTGATCTTTCAGACCATGTTTTCAATGCTAAATTTTAAAGAAAATATATCTGAACATATAAATAAATGTATCTAACTACATGGATCATGTACCATTAAAAATATTACCAGATTTAATGCAGTCTAAATCAAATTTAAAATACATTGGCTATTGAAGTCTGAGATACTTTTCAAACATTTCCTCAGTTACTCAGACTTCACATTGAGAGAAATGTCTCCTACTCCCCCCAGGTGAAAAAATAATCCATCCCTGTAATCCTTTCCTTTCATTTTAGCCTCAGATTTTTTCAAATGACTTCCTATGTATCAATAAAGTGGAAAAAGATTTGGTGGTTGTCAAAGTGAGCCACGAATTGTCCAAGGTCACACATTAGTTAGTAAGAGAGCCGGGACTACAGCCCAGGTTTCTCAACTCTATCCAAGTTTTATAATTCACCCTAGTAATTCTACTTTAATAAATCATAAGAAGGTATGAATGTACAAAGAAATATCACCAAATTAAATGTTTAAAAACTGTTTTTTTGACAAAATTGCAAGATGTTTTTATTTTATTTTTCCAGGGATCTCAGGGACATCAAATTGACCAAGGAGAAAGAGGTCCTCCAAAAAAAGAACTCCCTCAAACAAAGGTAATAGGTTATTTTTAAAATAGTAAAGAGCTGGTTTGATTATTGATTAACATCTTTATCATTTGAGTAATAAGAAAGCTGGGATTCCGTATATATTTTGGAATTTTTAGGAGAACAATAGGATCATGGCATCACAGGCGCAGAGCTGGACAGAATTCTCATTTCTATCCAAGGGGAATAAAAGCCTTCCCATTCAGAGTTTCTTGTCTTCTATTATACAGATGCATAAGTAGATGCACATAATAGAGCCATAATGCAGATGTGATATGCAAATACAAGCTTCTCATTTTCGATTACTTTGGCTGCAAAATTCTGTGCTTTGCCAGCTGTGCCTCTGCTGTGGCAGTGCTCATTAGGTACTAACAAAATTGTGCTTGGCAAAGTCATATTACTGGGTGAATGTCTTCCTCTGTTATGAGCCTTAACACTTTCCAATTCAGTTGTAAGACACTAAATACACTTTTTGAAAAAAGTAAACAAAGAACTTTCAATGCATGCCCACAACCTGTATAAAACAAAATTCCCAAAAGGCTGAGCTAGGTTGGAAATAAAAGCAATGTGCAGAAGATATTCAAACATTTCACTCTAATATTTGCCATATCTCAGTAATTTATGACTCACAAGTAGCAGAGGGCATTTTATTTGGTAATTTCTATTTGTATGAAACTTGATTTCATTAACGCAAGGAACTTCTGATATAGAAATGTCTTTTACTGGTGCAGACCAGCAATTCATCAGTAAATAATGATCCTAGAAAGACATCTGGAACACCTGGAGGTTAAGTGACTGTCCAACATTCAAATAACTAGTATATGTCAGAGTCAAAATTTGAACCCAGGTCTTCAAGTCTGGCCTTCTAATCTAGTACTCCTTGCTGCCTCTCACTTTTAATGTGTATATAGTCTAATACAGTTAGTATTCTTTATTCTATTCATCCTTTTTTTTCGTTCTAGTTCATGGTCCCCAATGCTTCCATTCACTAAGAAAATGACCTTGTATAAACACATAGATGATCATATAATAGATCAGAAGTTCTTATTCTGGGATTCATGGACTAAGGGGTCTATGGATAGATTTCAGGGAGTCTATGAACTTGAATGGGAAAAAAAATTACATCATTACTTTCACTGACATCTAACTGAAATTTAGCATTTTGTTCCATGACTTACAGTAACAAAACAGGGTTGTGTATTCTTCACCAAAAGAGTCCATGACAAAAAAAAAAAAGATAGTTACCCCTGTCACAGATATAGAGCTGAAAGAGGTTCTAGAGAACATCTCATCCAACCCCTTAATTTTATGGATAAGGAAACTAAGGCCCAGAGAGGTGTGACTTTGCCAAGGTCACACAGGTAGCAAATGGGAAACCTAGGATTTGAACCCAGACTCCATGATTCCAAATCCAACACTCTTGCCATTACCTCCATAGTAGTTTGTAAAGGAATTTATAAAGTAATTTAGCTATGTCTACTTTTTTGTTGTTGTTGTTCAGTCATTTCCAATTCTTCATGATACCATTTAGGGTTTTCTTGGCAAAGATATTGGAGTGGTTTGCCATTTCCTTCTCCAGCTCATTTTACAGATAAGGAAACTGAAGGAAACAAGGTCAAGTGACTGAGGCCAGATTTGAACTCAGGAAGATGAGCTATCCTGACTCTAGACCCAATACTCTATCCAATGGGCCACCTAGCTGCCCTATGTCTGCCAAGGCAGAAATTGAATAGTTACTGACATTTTCAGTCAAGATCATTGTATGTTTTGGGGAATGGGAGAAATTTCCTGAATGACAGGTTCCAAATCTAAAAGGAAACTTCATTAAAGAATGGATCTGAATGAAATCAGCCTCAAGAAAGCTTGTAATTCTTACTTTCATCATTCTTAGAATCCATTGCCAAGATATGTTAGCACTAAGGTTTACTAACATCATGTATGTACCTTAGTAGCTAAATTTGTTCATCTAATTTATGTTTAAATCTAATTTATTAAAAAGGCTTGTACTGATAAAAACATAAACATCTATAGCTTGAAATGCCAATTGATTTACTATAATGAGATATAAAAACTACTTGTAGCCTGCACAAAAGCAAATATATTCCTGTTTTATAATAGAAACATTTGTTTCCACTACAAGATGTCACCCTGGGCTTCTTATGAAGTTCAATAGAGTGCCAGGAAGTCCTAGTTAGATTATATCTGTCTCACAATGGTGGCCTTGGAAGTTGCGCCTGACAGATCACTAGGTTCTAAAACAGTCCTCTTTTTCATACAGAACTGAATGGTGCCCATATTTGTGGTCACTCATGACTCAATTTTGGTCCATTAAAGTTTTTGGTCCATTTAAGTCAGAGAATTAATGGATGGCAGTCTCTTTATTCACAGGAGAAGAGCAGATTCACCATTTTATCTCAGGATCTTTTCTCCATTGGTTAGGCAATGACTCATCTTTAACTGCTTGACTCTTTCCAACAACCTATAGCCATATTTAAATGAGGATATGCAATTAGAAAAGTGTTCTACAACTCTGAGTTGGCCAGCATCATGGACTGCTTGAAGGAATACAAGCAGGGTTTTTGTTCCACATAAATTATCAATATTCTGGATCATATCAAACCAAGGATGATTAAATATATATATATATATATATATGTATATATACATACGTACATACATATACATATGCATATATATACATACACACACACACACACACACACATATATATATATACACACACACACACACACACAAAATAAAGGACCTTAAATAAAGCAACCATACTTGGCACCATAACTATTCTGCTCCTAGATACTCTGTATCAGAGAAGAGTTACTCCGTGAGTTAGGAAATACAGGAAATAAGCCATCTCTAGATTTTGTACCTGTTGCAGGAATTTTCTGTTTTTGGCCTCCACTCTTACCTCAATGTCAACCACCCCTGAAGCTAATAACTCTCTAACACTTGGGACTAGACCTGAGTACTGTGTTTTACAGTAGCTTAAACCAGTGAGATTTCTTTAAAGAGTAGCTTCTAGATCCTTGCATAGAAACCCTGTTGTCTCCTCCAACTACCAGCCTATTTCTTCATCTCTTTTCTCAGCCCAACTTCATAAATAAGTGTTCTATGCTCAACATCCCACTTCCTCACCAAACACTTTTATCCTTAACTAATGCCTGCAATCTCTTTTGGAATCCTACCACTCTACTGAAACTATACTCTCAAAAATCACAAATGGCTTCCTAATCAACAAATTCAATGATCCTTTCCCAGTCTTCATCAACCTTTATACAGCATTTGACACTATTGATCAAAGTCCTCCAATTTGAGACATTCCACCTTTGACTTCTGTGGCACTATACTCTTCTGAATCAATTCAGTTCAAAATGCATTTGAAGGAAGTTGATCAGGATGGGACCAGGAATTCGAGGTCTAGAAATTCTCCTCTGAAACCACATAGATGATAACACATGCAATTTTTATATCTACCACACTCTGATCTGCCCTGAGAAAAAAAAAAAAGGCCAAACCTTCAATTAAAGACTCCCTTTTATAGTCCAGCACAAATTATCTGACTTCTAATCAAGTGTTTTTTCTATCACACTATGTTGCATCTTTACAACAGTAGGCATGCAATAAATATTTGTTGCATCAATGAATGAATAAATGAAACTAGTTTAAGCCAAAATCCACTCACTACAGCCAACGTATGCCCGTACCAAGAACACAACATATGAATCCCTATAAACGTTCTATTGGTCTCTTCTCCTCCAAATGGAGTGAATTTCTAGGCACATATAAGACATCTCTGTATATGCTCATACAGAAAAGAGATCATTGTTTTCCATGGAAAACCAGGAAGACTTTCCCACAAACACTTTCACCTTCAGAGAATGGAAACCTGGGCTACGTGCAACATTAATGAAAATTAGTACAGATATGAGGAGGCTGTTCAGCCAGGAAGAAAGTACCTTTCTCTCATTGTCTCGAGCTGGAAAATTTAAAATCAAGAGAAAACCGTTTATGTCATTGCCATCATTTCTTCCTTTAATATGTATCATTTGTGGTCCAGAAGCTTTAGTGACTCTGCTGAACCAAACACAGGGCTGCGGGCTACCATTGTTAAATAAATGTGACTTGGTCATGCAGGGAGACGCCAGCTTTGAGGGGTTGAAAGGACCTCATGGGCAGCCACGGATTGGCATGAAGTGGGGGAAAGGTGGGCTATAAATCCATCAGTTCCCTAACAAAGTATAAGTGATTTTATACACTGTCAAGATCAATTTGGGCTTACAAAAGATGCAGTGAGGCAAAATTTATTTGGGGTTTACAATAGCAACCAAAAAGGTCTGTGTTTTATGGATGGATTTACGACCAATAAGATGTCCAAAACCATTCTGTTTCCTCTTCATAAGAAAACATGCGTTGAAACTAAAAATGATTGATTCTGTTGGGAAAATCCTGAGTTCTGAAGTGAAAGGAGATCAAAGCAATCTGTTGGAGTGGCCATGTTTGTGTGTCTTAGACGAAGAACCAGGTTCTGAGATAAAATTTGTAAAGGGCTTATTAGCACAGTGCCTGGCATATAGTAGTCACTCTATAAATGCTTATTCCTTCCTTTCTCATAAAGGACTTTTCTTCTGTCAGAGGGGATAAATAATAGTTATATCTGCTCTTGCAGAGTGAAGTTGGACCCCAACATCCACCTTCCAGCTTTCCTGATGCTGGGATCCACAGAGAGAAGGTACTGTTCTCCTCTCATTGTCTAGAGGTTCTTCTCATTGAGGGAAGGAGGGCAGAAGAAAGAGCATTTACCTTTTGAAAAGTTAATTCATTTAAAAATTGTTAGAGGCAGTAGGACAAAAAGATCCACCTGGCTCCCAGGATGCTATGGGGCAAAGGCTCCCAGTCTTGTAAAGATAAAGATTGTCTACTACCACAATTGGTCCCAACTTGAATATGTAAATTGCTTTTTATAAGGTTACTCTCAACACTGAAATAGGTTAGTTCATATGATAGAAATATGCACACTATACATGTTTGAATGTAGCATATAGAAGGTAGAGCAAATACTACTGCCACCCACCAGACTATGGCCAAGTTTCTACATTTTTAGTACCACCTAAGCACCCAGAATAGCTTCATACCCCCAACAAGAGATTCATTTTGATAAGATCATAGATGAAAAGCTGGAAGGGACTTCAGGGACCATCTAGTCAAGTTCCTTCATTTTTTAATAGAGGAAACTTCAGCCAGGGAAAGGTAAGAAGGTCACACAGTTAATAAGCTTCGGCTTCATATCCTCAGCCACCTCTCTGCGGTCTTCCATCCCCTGCAGACTTTCCAGGTCAGCAAATCTGACCTCTGTCATCAACTTCCTCCTATTACAGGAGTTTTAAGAATTGTACATAGACACGATATTACATCAGCGTAAAAAACAGCAGCAAAACAAAGTACATGAGGTCTGACAGGAAAGGTGACTTTTTTACTCCTTCTTGGAATGGGTGAAACAATTTGTTCCAATGGCCATGAAGGCAATTGAAGCAGGTGCTGTGAAACACTTAGAACTTGGTCAGATATTGAAGACCCCAAGGTAACCCACTGCATCCCAGGCCATTGCCAGTCACCTTGAATTTTGTCCTGCCACTGGACTTCAATGACTCTGGAAGAGAGAGTGAGGCTGACGGACGTTGTACAATTCTGCCTCACTTAAATCCAATTCACACACAAGTCAAGACATCCCCTACGATGTCATTGGTCTTCTTCAAAAATGAAGGATGAACAACACTGTGGCATAGTGGATAGAGTATTAGGATTGGAGTCAGGAAGAACTGGGTTCAAATCCTACTTCTGTCATGAGCTGTGTAACCCTGGGCAAGTAACTCAATCTCTCTGTTCCTCAAGCAACTTCTTCTAGGATCATAGATTTAGATCTGGAAAGAATTTTGAGATGTATTCTAGTTCATATGCCTCATTTTACAATAAGGAAACTAAGGTGATTTGACCAAAGTCAGATAGGTAGCCAGTGGCAAAGCTAAGGCTCATCTGTTAAGCCATAGATATATTGAATTTGCCTGGTAGAGGGAGTTATCATACTGAGAATTACGCCACAAGGAGGAAACCACAGCTCCTTTGTAGATTCACATAATTGTCCATAGCAGCATACAGAAGGGAGAGCAACTTATGTTCCAGAGCAAGAAGGGGAAGAATTCTTCCCCCCCCCTCCAATTTTTTTCATCCATTGTTCCTAGCAGTCATGGAGAGGAAAATACCACTAGTAAATGTGGGGTGCACCCACAACTGCTTGAATAAGTAAAAATAGCTGTGTAGAATTACCAGCTGGAGACCTAACTACGCTCTGGATCATCCCTGCTTTCATTAGTGCATGGTCCCAGGGTGAGGTAGCTATTTCAGGACATAGATGAAGGCATTATTTTCTCACTCATAAAGGAATGAAAGATGCCAAGCATCTCCCACTATGTTTCTTTACAGGCAAAGAAGCCCAGAGGGTCACTGAGTACCAGCTGAGTCCCTTACATGACAGTTATCCCAGCTCACAAGCTTGCTAGGAGATGAACCAGATTAGAAATATTCAAAGTATATCTAAAAATAAAGCAACTAGTTTTTACAGCTTGTAGGTTTGTTTGGGGTTTTTTGTAGCAATTTTTACTTTCTTCGTGCATTTTCACATGCTTTTTTGCAGCTTTCCAACTGTATTAGAAGGTACTAGATAGATACCAAATTATCTTCATTCCTGCTCAGTTTTTTTTTTTTAAAACTGTCCATTCTCATTAAGAATTTCTAGTCAGAAACCCAGCATAATATTATTAGGCTTGCTTTGCAACTCCTTTAGGGAAGGGAGCTACCTGGGAAGCATATATCATTGTTATCCTCATGTCTAAATGATTTATTATTACAGTCTTAAGAAATTTTCAGTGTCACCAATTTCACTTGTTCTCTATTAAAGCCAGGGGCATGAATTCTGTCCTCAGACATGTCTTGGTTTGTTAATGTAGTTGTACCCAGGTGACTGCAGGGAAAAAAAACTACTAGAATTATTCCTATTTCCTAACCCTGTGTAGATGTCACCTACTTTATGCCAGTAATTTTACATTTTCTTTGTTATTCACTTCCCCTAGACTACCTTTTGAAAGACCCAAATCCAAATTCCAGCCATCATAAACCTGACTGGATGGTCAGGGCTGGTCACCGAAGTAGGCAGTCCCCGAGATGTTAGTTGGGCCTCCAGGAGCCAGAGGCACATAAGGGCCTTCACCTCTGGGACTCTAAGCCAGCACCAGAGGTCGAGTTTCTGAGAGCTAGATGCAAGTAAGCATCCTTGACTCTTCCTTCTCCCTCACTCCCCAGGCCCCATATCTTATCCATTGCTGAGAATCATTGATCCTACCTTCACTGCATCTCTCACATCTATCTTCTCTCCAGTCACACAGACACCATCTTGGTTCAGGACTTCCTCACCTTCCAAGAGGACTATTGCAATAATCTCTTCATTTGTCTCCCTGCTTCTAGTCTTTGATTCTCCAATCTCTCCTCCCCACAAAGCTGCCAAAGACATCATTTCTAGCTCTAGAATCTATTGTCTCTAGGATAAGATAAACTTAGCTTGGCATTCAATACTTTTCACAGTCTGGTTCCAGGTTTATTTCACCTTCCTTCCCTTTGTGTATTCTCCATTCCAGCCAAACTTGCTTCATTGCTCCTTTCAGAACTTGGCATTCTATTTCCCTCCCTCCAGACCTTCGCATAGGCTGTCCTACATTCCTGGAATGCACTCCTTCCCCACCTCTGCCTGTTAGAATTCTTTGTTTCTTTCAAGGTCCAACTCAGGCACCATGCCTCCTCAACCAATCAGTTAATAAGCATTTATTAAGCATTTACTATGTGTCAGGCATGGTGCTAGGCACTGGGAACACAAAGAAAAAGTGAAAGCAGTCACTGTCCCTAAGGAGTCTGCTCTCTAATGGAAAAGACAGTGTGAACTTATGAAAGTACAGACAAGATAAACATAAAGTAGATACAAGGTTACATTAGTGGAGAAGGCATTAGCAGCCCAAAGGACCTGGAAAGACTTTCTGCAAGAAGGTGACATTTGAACTGTGCCTTGAAAGAAGGTAGAGGGGCAGCTAGGTGGACATTGGATAGAACACTAGACCTGGAGTCAGGAGGACCTGAGTTCAAATCCAGTCTCAGGAGCTATGTGACCTTGGACAAGTCACTTAACCCTGATTGCCTCCAAAAAAAAGAAAGAAAAGTAGAAATGCGGTAGAAGATATAGAAGTGAGGAGGGAGGGCATTCCAGGCATGGAGGATAACAGCCAAAAGCATGGAGGTTAACAATGGAATGGTGTGTGGGGAGAATAGCAAATAGGCCATAGTGCATAGAAGGGAATGACTTTTAAGAAGAGTGGAAAGATGAGGAGGGAACAATTTGTGAAGAGTTTCAAGTGTCAAACGGAGCAGTTTGGTCATTCAGAATCATAGGGAACAAGGGGAGTTTATTGAGGTGGGGGCAAGGGGTGTGACATGGTCAGACCTGCACTTTAGGAAAATCACGTTGGCAGCTCTACAAAGGATGAATTGGAGTGGGGGGGAGACTTGAGACGGGAAGACCAGTTAGGAGATCATTGCAATAGTCCTTTATGAGGGCCTGAACTTAGAGAGAAGGCAGTGTTAGTGTTAAGGAAGAAACAAGAGAGTTGTTATGGAAATAAAAAAGACAAGATTTGGCAAATGTCTAGATATGTTGGGGGAGGGAACAAGCACTTATTAAGCACCTACTACATGCCAGGCACAGGACTAAATGTTTTACAAATATGATTTCATTTGGTCCTCACAACAACTCTGGGAGGTACGTACTCTTTTTACTCCCTTTTTATAATTAAGAAAACCGATGAAGACAGAAATTAAGGGACTTTTCCAAGGTCATACAACTAGTAAGTGTCTGAGGCCATATTTGAACTCAGATCTTCCTTAGTCCAGGCCATATGCTCCATCCAGTGTAGCACCTGCCTATGTTGAATGAGTAATAGTGAGAAGCAAAGGATGAAGTTGTATTTAGGGGAAAATATAATTAGTTCTGTTTTGAACATGTTGAGTTTGAGATGCCTACAGCAATCCAGTCCAAAATGTCTGCTAGGCAATTGGTGACGAGTGGGTCTAGAGCTCAGGAGAAAGATTAGAGCAGGATGTATAGATGTGGAAGTCATATGGATAATTGGGCCCATGGGTGTTGATGAGTTCAGTGAGAGGATAGAGATAGAGAAAAGGAGAGGGCTCAGGAGAGAGTCCTGGGGTATACCCTGGTTAGTGGGCTTGTCATGGATGAAGATTCAGCAAAGTAGACCAAGAAGGAATGGTAAGATAGTAGGAAGGAAACTAACAAAGAGTACTGCCATGAAAAGGGAAGAGAAAAAAGAAATGATTGACTTCTGCTATAAGAAATTTTTTCCCCAACTGACCCAGCTGTTAATAATTATTCCCTTCTCAAATTGTGGGGTTTTTTACTTATCTGTATACTTGTTCTATCCCCTAGTAGAATAATAGCTAACATTTATATAAAACTTCAAGATTCACAAAGCACTTTATAAATATTCTCATTTTTTCACAACAACCCTATGAGGTGAGTGCTATTATTACCCCCATTTTACAGAGAAGGAAACTGAGGCAGACAGAAATTAAACACCCTTAAGTTAAGTTGCCCATGGTCACACAGCTAGTCTGAGA